TTTAAAAAAAAAAAAAAGAACAAGCGCTTCAATGCATTGTTAGCACTGGAACTTACAAGTTCTATTTCTTCCTCAAAGATGCTGGGGAGTCACAGAGCCCTTTGATGAAGGCGGTGGAATCTGTCCTCCACAAAGTTAACGTGGGTACTGACCCCCGTCCCACAGCACAGGTTTAAAGCAGGATTTTGGAACAGGCGTGCGGTAGAAGTGTCTGACAGGGCGCCACGCTCCGCTCAGGGCCGACGCCTCTTCGAGGTCTGCTCCAGCCCCGCGGCTAGGAGAGGCGCGCCCTCCGGACCTGGGCCGCCCAGAGAAGACCGCTCCCCGCGCCTGGGCGCCAAGCTGAACGGCCTGCGAAGGCTCCCTGTGAGGCGCTGGGACGGGCGGGCGGCAGGGCTGTAAGCCGCGGGGTGCCGTGTCTCGTCCGCAGAGGCAAGCTGGTCCTGGGCTACACCGACAGCGAACTCTGCAGGAGGGGCTCCGGCTACCAGTTCATCCACGCGGCCGACATGATGCACTGCGCCGAGAACCACGTGCGGCGTGAGTTCGGGAGGCGCTGTCGGGGCCCAGCCTGCCCCGCGGCCGCCTCCTGCCTCCTCCCGCAGCGCCCGCTGCAGAGGGCTGGGGGGTGGGGGGTCCGAGGCTCCGACGCGCGCGCAGTCTCTCTCTCTCTCTGTCTCTGTCGGCAGTGATGAGGACGGGCGAGAGCGGCCTCACGGTGTTCCGGCTGCTCACCAAGCAGGCTGGCTGGCTGTGGGTGCAGTCCAACGCCCGCCTGCTGTTCCGCGGCGGCCAGCCCGACTGCATCGTCGCCCGACAGCGGGCCCTGACGTAAGTAGGGCCCGGGCGGGAAGCGAGGGCCCTGTCGTAAATGAGGGCCCGACGTCCGCGGGGCCCGACGGCAGAGCGAACTGACAGAAATGAGGTTCTTGCGCCCCCTCCCCTCCGGTGAGGACCATGTCGTAAAAGCGAGGTCCCGACGTACGTGTGATCCTGAAACAAGACGGAAATAAAAGCCCCTAAGTGAGGCCCCAACACAAACGCGGGCCGGAAGGGCAGGCCCGAAGGGTGGGTCCCACGCAAATGCGGGCCGGAAGGGCGGGCCCGAAGGGAGGGTCCCACGCAAATGAGGGCCCGAAGGGCGGGTCCCACGCAAATGCGGGCC